ACAGTTCTCAAGAGGAGCAGTGGGGGAGCTGCGAATAGCCAGGGGGTGCAAAGGAGCCCGGGGTAGGATGAGGAGGATAAAGAGTGTTGGAGCACGACATCTACAGAGTGTGAACTGCGGGCAGCAGCAGCGGCCAGCAGAGTGGGTTCTAGTTCGAGGCCAACAAGGATAGAGGCTGACAGAAGGCCAAGTGTACCATGCCCCCCGGATGTCAGGGTGAGACATAGGCCCCACTCTCCTTCTCCTTTGGTCAGCTCATCGCTAAAAGAGAGGAGGAGGGGAGAGGACAGAGAAAGAGCAATCCTGTGTTAAGTGAGAATTACTAAAAAATAAAATGAGTTTTGAATTAGCAAAATGCAGTTTTTCATGGGCAGTGGAAACAGGGCTCTTGAGACGGGCTAAGATCAGAGATAGAGAAACAAAGCTACGTATGTGCCTATCTGAGTCCGTGTCCGTAATTTTCATGCCCACTTATCTATACACAAGGACATACAGGCACGACTAAACAAGTATTTGTGTCTGTCTTTTTTTATAATATCATAGACCCTGGAGGCAAAGAGACCTGGGCTTGAATCTCGTATTATCCACTTAATAGCTGGATGACTTTGAACAAATGTCTTGATCCAAGATTTTGCTTCAGGAAACTAGGAATAATAGTGTCTTATAGGTTTGTTTTAAGGATTAAATGAGATACAAAGGTTACCCTAAGACCTGGCATATGGTAAGCCCTTAATAAATGCTATTTACCATGATCATAACAATAATTATTATGCATGTGCTCATTTTGACTATAAATCTGAGCTTTTGCTTGGCAAGATTTAATTACCTGTTGTATATACAAAGCATAGCACATCCAGCTACTGATACTATAAATGCTTAGAGGCTAAGGGGACATTCATGAACAGGTCTTTAATGGCAGTATTTAAGGTTAACCCCCTTTTATAGGTTTATTTCTGTTTATTTAATTTTGACTTTGTTCTCAGGGAAGGAGATATGTCTCTAGATTTGAGGAAATCTGAAGTAAAATTCTTTTTTTTTAAAGATTTTATTTATTTATTTGAGAGAGAGAGAGCGAGAGACAGAGAGCACGAGAGGGAAGAGGGTCAGAGGGAGAAGCAGACTCCCCGCTGAGCGGGGACCCCGATGTGGGACTCGATCCCGGGACTCCAGGATCATGACCTGAGCCGAAGGCAGTCGCTTAACCAACTGAGCCACCCAGGCGCCCTGAAGTAAAATTCTTTTCAAGCAGAGATAGAAGTCTAAGCCCCCCACCCCTCTCCCCCTTCACTCTGGTGGAAGTACGGTGGCCCAAAGGTTCAACATATGTGAGGTGGTAGCAGTATCTTCAGCACCATCTCTGGGGCTTCCTTCTGATCTGAGAGATTTCACTAGACAAAGCATCCAAGATGCCTCACCACACCTCTGGCCTAAGCATCCCTACACCTCTTATTCATGGGCGAGTGGGTAATCCTAATTCTACCCAGTAAAACTATCAAAGTGCAAAGCCCCGCAGAAAACCCTGTCCCCAGTAATAAAGCAACACATGTAATAAAGAGCACAGCCGTATAGGGGCTAGCAGCCCGTGCTGTGTTTGGCAGAAGAGGCATAATAAAGTCTTTGCTTGTTTTTTGGGTGGCCTCAAATAAAGCATCTAATCTCTTGACTCCGTTAACTTATCTTTAAGAGGGACATAATGATATTGTGCCAGTTCGCCTCAAAGGGGTATTATCTAAAGCTAAAGCCTGCACTGGTGCAGAACCAAGTACTATGCAAATGCTGTGATTATCAGGAACCAGCACTGCTTTTATTCATACGGTGAACCCGTTTGTTTACTGTCACCATGATCTGCATTAATACAAACAGTGGATAACAGCATTTTCACTGTGGGCCTCTAGATTTTAAGACAGACCTATCATCCATTCACTTTGGTCCCCGAGTCTTTGTCCTAGATCCTGAAACAAACCTTTTCCATTAGAGAGGAGGTTCTATCCTACCAAGTGTGTAGTTTAGAGGCACAGGCTTGGCCAGGTAAAAGCAGGCAAATACAAGTTGGCCAGACGTCAGCTGAATTTTGGGGCCTCCCCGCACCCACAGATGTTTTACTTCATCTAATTTTATTGTGGAAGAGTCGTATGTATATCAACATTTGGCAAACACTTCATTAGCAGAACTGTGGTTTCTTCTTATTATTAATAAGAATAAATGTCCCTGGGCATATGCACACATTATCAAAGTATCCAGAAATTCCTGTATTCTTCGGAGCTCAACTAGAAATGTTGATGACTCATTCTCCAGTCACACTTAGAAAAACATGCGTTGTGTACGTGTGGAATAAACACATACAGAGTTGCAAATTGTCACTTTTAACTCTAAAGGCAACTCACTGGCATTTGAAGAGACAGGAAAGATTGTTTTTTGCTTATTCCTCAAGTTTCCTCGGGTTCCATGGAATTGCCGAGGAGACTTCAAAGCAAGCCCTCATCTACTGGGACAAGGGCCAGCTTCTGGCTCTGGTCTGGCTGTGGAAAATCCCAGAGTAGATCTAGGAATATCCTGGTTTGGGAAGGGTGTTGAGATCATCACCATCGTCATCCTTCTGTGTAGATCCTGCCTTTCATTGTTGTTCTTCTCTCACTGAGGACTCTTGGGAAGGCCTTCATCATGTTAATGCTGGCCTCACCGACTTCAGACCTGGGAGATAAGAAGGCTGAGTGGGGTCCACGTGTGGCCTCAGAGCGCACCCAGCAATATCATTTCATGGGGAGTATACAAGGGACAGAGGATAGTCAAGGATAGTCAAAGTAAGCCCTAGAATTCCTCTCCTGACTTTGTGTCCTAAAGTACATTGCAAACTCCTTCAAGGGGGGGTCCATGGCTATTCCCTTATGTATTTTGTGGGCTATGCCTTTAGAGATTCTCCTTGCCTGAAGAAAAGCGGGTTGGCTCTGGGATGATTCAAATCACAATATGAATTCAGGCAGGGTGTCATGTTAATTTTTTGGAACTAGAAATAAAGTGAACTGTCATTTTTCCATGTTGTCAGTCTGATTAAGAAGGAATATACTTTATATTCTTTTACTTTTCTCAGTAAACTGCCTACAAAGACTGGTTCGTATAGTCTTAACAACTGCCACCTCTCATACCCAGGTGTATTTCCACGATTGTTACTGGAATCTTTATCAGGTACTTGCCCTCCCCCACTTTTTTTTTTTTTTTTTTTTTTTTGCCATTTGATTGTGAAACTAATTGTGGTCTCCTAAACTGTAGGTTATTGGTCTGAAATATTGACAGAGTTCAGGACACTCTATCCCAAAATAGGACACTGAGGCATCTTGAATTTCAGAAACAGCACAGATAGGAAGGACTCTCTGACCTTCCCCTAAGGCAGGTCATAAAACCCTTATGTGAGGGATGACCTCCTCATCCCCAGAGGAAAGATGCATCCTTATCTCCAAGATGCTGAGAGGAATCCAAATGAACAGGTCTTGCTGTTTCCCCCAATTCACCACACAAAGCTCATACCCCCTTTTGTCCTTTCCCATTTTCCCATGACCTTCCACCCTTTGTCAAACCTAACCTAAAATCACCCAGGTCTAACATATTCAGGTCTTCACTTCCTTATGAAGGCTCCCAAGTCACATGAAACTTACAATAAATAAATGAGTATGATTTTCTCTTCATCACTCTTTTGTTACAGGGACCCCAGTCAAGAATTTAGAAGTGTAGAAGAAAGAGCTATTTTTCCTCCTTACATCAACAAAGTGGTAAGCAGGTAATAAGCTGTCAAGAGTAGCCAAGAATGGGGTAATTTAGAGGAGTAAATGTAAGAGTAAAAATAGAGTAGATAGAGTAAAATAGAGGAGAACAGTAGTCACTCTGGGTTAAGTATTAATTGTCAAGGAGAAAAAGAGTTCGTAGCAGAGAGAGGAGCGGTCCTACTCTCAGAAGTAACCTCTCCCATCTCAGAAGTTTCCCAGCAGTTGCTATTATGCATCAGAATTGGCCCCATGGTGTTTTTTGTTTCTCCTAGGTAGGCAAGACCAATATATGTGGAGGTTTTAGAGCACTGTAGCTAGAAAGTTTTTAGTAACCACTGAGTAATAACCACTGAGTTTTTAGTAACCACCAAGTAATAAATAAGCTTTAATGAAGCCTTGTATGGGGCGCCTGGGTGGCTCAGTCGTTAAGCATCTGCCTTCGGCTCACGTCATGATTCCAGGGTCCTGGGATTGAGCCCCGCATCGGGCTCCCTGCTCAGCAGGAAGCCTGCCTCTCCCTCTCCCGCTCCCCCTGCTTGTTTTCCCTTTCTCCCCTGTGTCTCTCTCTGTAAAAAACAAAAGAAAAATCTAAAAAAAAAAAAAAAAAATGAAGCCTTGTATCATCACATTACTAAACACAATGGCAGAGGTTTTCATTTTCTTGTTAGGTTTAATCTTTCTGTATTCCACTTTTAAAGATGCCTTTTTTTTTTTTAACAGGAAAATTTTTCAAGGTCTGTTACTCTGTGGACTGTCATACATCTCTCTAAATCAGAGAACTATCTATTAGGAAATGTTCTCTCTCTCCCCACATTCATGGGTAATCTCGCGCTAATTGTTGGCATGGTAAAATAAGGAAGCCATCTGTGGTGTATATGTTGTTGCTGTTGTTGTTTTAGAGATAAGTTGACATATAGTGTTATATTAGTTTCAGGTGTACAGCATAATGATTCTATATTTGTTGGTACCTGCCTTTTCACTGACTTCTGCTTAGTACTGACGAAGCACTGGGGCGCCCGGGGGGGCTTAGTCGTTAAGCGTCTGCCTTCGGCTCAGGTCATGATCCCGGGGTCCTGGGATCGAGCCCCGCATCGGTCTTCCTGCTCAGTGGGAAGGCTGCTTCTCCCTCTCCCACTCCCCTTGCTTGTGTTCCCTCTCTCACTGTGTCTCTCTCTGTCAAATAAATAAATAAAATCTTAAAAAAAAAAAAACTGATGAAGCACAGACGTACTTTTGCAAAACCTTTCTAAACAAGAAGATAAACTCATTTCCTTTATTCAGCAAACACAACTGACTATATTCATTACTGAATTCTTTCCAGTACCAGTATACTCGTTGAAATACGCTAGAACAACCCCATCCTGAATATTCTTTGACTAAAAAGGCACCTACAGCATATCATAAGGAAAAGAGCTGGTGTTGGAATCCAGACCTACCTCTACCAATTCCTAGACATCAAGTTCTGGGTAAAATACCTAACTTTTCTCACTCAAGGCCTCTGTACAAATGAAGGGTGTAGAAACATAGCAGAATAGCGATGTGATTAAGATCTCAGGCTTTGCAGTAGAACAGGCCTACATTCCAATCCAATTCTATTCTGCTGCTTGTTAGTTGAGTACCCTTGGGCAAGTTACTTAAACTTCTTATATCTTAGTTTCCTTATCTATGAAAAAAGGAATAACACTACCTCACCTCATGAAGTTGTTGTTACAAAAATTAAATAAAAGGATATCAACAGTGCTTACTTAGTTCAGTATCTGGTTCTTAACAATATTCAGTAACTCTGGTTTTAAAAAGAAATCCTACAAGAACTTTTGGGATCATGAGACATAAACCTCTTCATTTTCACATGAGAAATGGAGACCCAGACATTAAGGATCTTGTCCAAGATCACTGAACCCATATGTGTGTGATGCATATTCCCAGAGCTTTTATGAGTTCTGCGATCTGGTCAGAGTACTATCTCTTTGTGACCTAATCTCCTATTTACTATATATATGGACTATTAAACTAGGTGATCAAGTTACTATCCATGTAAAAACGCCAGTAATTACACTGCTGTTTGTCGAGGCCCTTCTATGTTCGGGGCATGCTGCCAGATAGTGTGAGTGTTACAATGGGCACATGAGAATCTGTCTCTGGCCTCAAAAGGGTTTACAGTTGAGCTGGAGAGACATTTATGAGACATGTAAACTATTGGGATAGCCACATGACATGGCCAAGGTTGAAGTGTTCTAAGAATCAGACATGGGCCATGAATGTATGTTGCAAGGTCCTATAGAAAGTGAGCTCCATTTGACCTGGCAGTCGGTGGTGGCTTCCCAGCGAAAATGGGACTTTTCCTGTGCATTAAGATTAAACTGGATTAGAATACACAGAGAGGAGAGGGAAGGACATTATATGTTCCTTGCAACAGCCTGTATAAAAGTACAGAGGTAGAAAAGAACACCATTAAGTGTGGGACATTCAGCGAAAAGCGCTCAATCATTTCTTATATTGACCTTAGTCCTCTCAGCATGTTCTATTTTCACAAGGGGCAGTGGGTGTTTTCACAAGTGTGTGTGTGTGTGTGTGTGTGTGTGTGTGTGTGTGTACATATGTTCACACATGAGTCTGAACTCCTAACTTTAAATACTGGCCAGGAAAGTACCGAGTGCTTATGACTTCCCAAAGTTCAAGACCCAGAAAAGTAGAGGTCATCTTTGAGCTCACTGGCTCTTGACTCTCACTCTAATCTAGCAGCTCATTCTGGCTCTTCTACCTCCAGCGTATTTCTCAGATTCCTCCCCTTCTCTTTCTTTCCACTGCTAGTTACCTGTCCCAACATCAGCCTACCTCACCCATTGTTGTGCCTATGCTACAGGCACCCCCATTCCAGTCCTGTCCCCTGCGAGGCACTCCCCACGCAGCAATCTTCTAGCAATGCTAATCTTATCATGGAACCCCTGCTGAAAACCTTTCAATGACTGCCAATTTTACTAAGCATATAATCCAAACTGTTTGTTACGGCTTTCAAGGCTCAGCAGGATGTGGCTTCCTTACCTCTCCGACCTCACATCATGTTACCCATCCCCTCCCTTGCTTGCTGTTCTTTGAACCAACCAAGGTGCTTCCCAACTTCAGCTCTCTGTGCTTGATGTGCCCTCTGCTTGAAACATTACTCCCCCCGCTTTGTGCAACCCGCTTACCTTTCAAACTTCAGCTTAAATGTTACCTACTCGAGAGAGGCTTTCTTTGATCTAACTATATAAACAAATTCCCTCTGCTATTCTCTAAGATTGCACCTTATGAATTTTCCTTTCTAGCACTTATCAATTTCTTTAGAATTGTTGATACTTAGTGAAATTTGTTCATTGCTTAACTCTTTAAACATTTGTTTTCCCTACCAGAACATAACCTTTATGATCAGGCCTTGTCTGCCTGGTTCATTTTTCAGTTTCCAGAATCTAGTACTGAAAATTTCAGAGATTAGTGAATGGATTTATAAAAGGAAATAAATGGAAAGCCATTATAGCAAATAAGTCTCATAGAAGGCAGCTGCTTTAGTGATGGCATTCACCCTTGATTCTGTAAAGAGGAGACTGCAGGTGTTTACAAAGCAGTTACTGTATTTGGGGGGTAACTCTAAAAGAAATACTTATTATTATTGCAAGAGACTGTTACCTCTTAAGAGTAGGGGACTCAGAGCTGCTTGGAGAGGCTGATGGGAGACTAGTCACTAACCTCCATTAGTAGCTAAGCTCGTTGGCTTTACATCTGGAAAGAAACAAATTTCTATCTCCAAAAACTAACGCATTACTACATGGCAAGGGAATTGTTCTATAATTTAAAGGACAAATGTTATATTCTGTCTAGTGACTGCTATCCTCTTGTCAAGTTGCTCTCTCTGAGGACAGAAGAAAAGGGCTCTTGCCTGGCTACTTTACATCACTTACCACTTATCTGGCCAACTGATTATAGGCATTCCCTCGATTTCAACTTCCCTTATTTCTCTTCCAGCTTTCCTCTCATAATCAAAGGCCATTATATACTTGCCCAGAAGTTTTTACGGTCTTACCCAAGGATCTTGCCCAAGGTCAGTGAACCAATGTGTCTGTAATATTTATTCTCAAAGCTTTTATTAGTGCTGTGATCTGGACAAAATACTATATCCTTGTGACCTAATCAATCAATCAAGTTCAATAACAGTGACAACAGGATATAAGATTTCATTTACTGAGGGATTTTTTTCAAATGTGCCTGGCATTATGCTAAACCTTTTATAGGCATCATCTCTTCTAATCCTGCCTCCAAGCCCATGAAATAGTAATTATAATCTCCTTTTCACAGAGGAGGAAACTGAGGCCTAGTGAGGCTAAGAAACTAGCCCAAGTTCACACTGTTGTAAAGTAACTTGGGTTTCAAACTCAACTTTGAACCTGTTAAGTGCCAAAGCAGTATCAATATGGATCAGCTAATAAAGCGAATCCGAATCAAGCACATTTTTTTCAATATCAAATGATGCATACACTTAGTTAAGCTTTTAAATATTTTATACAGGAATAATTTGACATGTCCTTTTTTTAAAGGGTTGTACATAAGTATGCACATTAAGTATGTTTCTGGTTATCAACCATTCGAGTATATTAGATTCCGTTTCTGGTCCATATAAATTTTCCTTTTCTGGCCTCTCAGCATCGATTTTCATGTTTCCTTATTTTATTTGGTAGCTTTTCCCTTCTTATAAAAAATTGGGCAGCCATGCTTCTCTGTAACCTTGGTGGGTCAGTGTAACCTCTAAGTACTTCCCTCTCCTCCTCTGCAAGAAAAGCTGTCAAAGTACAAGAACTCTCGAATGTCTTGCATCATCTCAAACACACACAGGGATGAAGAGGGCTAGAATTCTCCTGAAGAAGCAGAACAACTGGCAACAGTTGGCACGACACCTTCTAAAGACCCCATCTGACTCTGTCTTAAAAATCAGTCAGCCTCAAAATCAGAATTACCCCGCCCATACCAGGACTATCTCACTAGCTAGGCTTCATGACATAATAGCTGCTATCACCTTTCAGCAAAGATGTGATCCTTACCATTCATATTTTGTAAGACCAACAAAGCATCCTTTGTACCTCAGGACAACTGGGTATTAGTTAAGGTACAAGGCCCACAAAGACATGGCTCCCCTGTTCTTTGGTAACCCACACCACATGATTATCAAACACGTTTCCAGTCTTTAGAATAATTATAGTTATTAGAAAAGTTATTAGAAAACTATTAGAAAATAGTTATTAGAAAAGGTGATAGGACACAACAGCAAAAATCTGGAGGTTTGTTTTGTATTGTTACCAACAATAGGCAATCAGAACAGAGTTAATACGTCTCTCCCCCCGTTACCCAGCATTCAAAGCTACAACTGGAGCCACATTATAATAACTTTAGACCCCAAAGCAGTGTGACGATTTGATGCATAATTTTCAACACATGTTTTATTAATCCATTCTTCCTGTGCTTCATTTAAAATACTGGAAACTATAAAAAGATCTGCGTGTCACTCCCCTGCCAGGAAAAAAAAAAAAAGAAAAAGAAAGAAAGAGAGAGAAAGAGAGAAAAGAAAAGCCTAACAAATACGAAAAAAAAAAAAAAAGCCAGAGCAACTGGAATCTCAGTTTTGAGGAAACACATGGGATTGAAGCATCCGCCGCAACCCTGTAACCGACTGCCACATGTGACCCTCCCCTCCCCCCTCCGCGGAATCCTGGATGTCACCAGGCTGGGCCGAGGACGCCGTGCTCGCAGGCAAGTGTGCGGCGGCGGGGGCCCTGCGGGGCGGGGGAGCGGACGCAGCTCTCGGCGCGGGGAGGGCCTTCCAGGAAGCCGCGAGCTCGGCTGAGGACGCGGCTGCGGGTCGGTGCCGGGGCCGCGCCGCCTGGGCCGGCACGTAGCGCCCAGCGTGACTCAGCGCTGACTCACCGCGCTCGCTGCCAGTGGATTTCCCCGTCAGCGGCTGCCGCTCGCGGGTCCTCGCCGCCGCCTGCTCCGCGAGCCCTTTCCTGCACGCCAGACCAGTACCGGCGCTTTCAGCAGAGCGGGGCCGACTTTACAGCCTTTGAATCCCGACCAAAGCGGGGAAGTGACTGGCTTTGTTTTCTTTGACTTGAAGAGCTCGATAGCCCACTAATCAAATTCTTTCATCAAAGGCTTGTTGGAACAAATCCCTAACATCGTCCTTCCACGGTGACTTGTAGGTGACCTCCGCTCAGAGTTTGCTTCTGTCGTCCTAGGCCTGCATCTTATTTTTATCCCGCATTTTCTTAGGTTATCTTTTCAATATGTTTGGTAACTAGTCTTGGCACAAACCCACAAGGGCAGTGACGCAAATCAGGTTGGAACTTGGCATGATGTGCGGGCTTGGGTGACTTACTGTAAAAACGCTTCATAAAGACGTTACTATCTGCCATCTCGGTTGCTGATTAGATGCCCTGCTCATTTTCAGTCTGTCACTACCCTCTGAAAGGTCCCGGGACAGATTGTTAAAATGCAGATTCTTGAGCAGTCATACTTACTTCTTCGTCTCCAGGATTCTACATGGAGAGCAATAGTACAGCAAGGTTTCTCCAACTGCAGCTCCCGGACCATTCACTGCATGGAGAGTGGCTGGGGGGATGTGGCCACAGTGCAGGTTCTTAGACCCCGCTCCAAACCAGAGACGCAGAATGTCTTGCGGTGGGACCTGGAAATCCATCTTTTTTTTTTTTTTTTTTTTGGAAGATTATTTGTCAGAGGGAGAGAGAGTGTGTGCGCACAAGCAGGGGTAGGGGCAGAGGGAAAGGGAGAAGCAGGCTCCCCACTGAGCAAGGAGCCTGATGTGGGACTCGATCCCAAGACCCTGGGATCATGACCTGAGCAGAAGGCTGTCGTTTAACCAACTGAACCACCCAGGCATCCCTGGAAATCCATCTTAATGAACAGCCCATCAGAGATGCCTATGTACGCTAAAGTTGGAAAACTACTAGCCAGAGGATGACGGTGTGAGACATTATTCTGTGAAGACGCTAGGAAACATTCTCACAATGGAGAACACTTTGTTCTAAAATTGATTTTGGAGTTCTGATACCAGGCAACCCGATTTCTAAAACTGGTTATATATACAATTTTGCTTAACTGTATATTAATATAGACACATTCTTTTTCTTTTTAATTAGACATTCTGCTATGAAGTAAAATGTAGTACCTATAGAGTAAATTTTATTTCAGACCGTTATTTCCTAAGCATGACTTTGCATCAGATTTAGCTACAGAGCTTTTTAACACTAATTCCTGGACCAGATCTCCCGCCTAAAGAAACATTATCTCTGAAGATGAAACCTAAGAACAGGCAATTCGAAAAGCTCTGAGAGTTAGTCTCTGGACCTTTGCAAATGATCACTCTTCCCAAGTACAAGAGAAACTTCACTAACTTCAAGGTAGTTGGCTTGTAGCGTTCTATTATGGTGCCCACTCATCTCTGCACGGTTTCCTTTTGAAATCACAATTGAAAAAATAAAAAGTGACCACATAAGATACCAACTTAGTATTATACTGATAAATGTATGTCTTTAGAAGGCAAATTTGAAATCCTTTTTTTTTTTTTTTAGGGGAGTTACTGGGAGAGGTTGGGAGATTGGAGAATAATCTTGGAGTCTATTTTGGAATTTTCTCTATTCTTCCCTGGGATATTTTATTTGTTTACTCATTTTCTTTTCATCTCGCTGGGTAAGTTTCCCCCACTTTATCCCTGTTAGCATTGTGGCAAAAAGCCTAGATCTGACACATATCTGACAAGAGAGCTCTCCTTGCTGGCTCTTCTCCAAGTGTGGTCTTTGGACCAGCAGCATGGACATCACCTAGAAATCTGTACGAAATGCAGACTCTCTGGCTCGACCAGAACTAGCATATGAGAATCAACGCTTTAGCAAGATTTCCAGGTGATTTGTGTGTATAATAAAATATTGGAAGTACTGGTTTGTAGTAATGGTGACAATCTAAGGCCGATGGAATAAAAAAAGAGGAAATACGAGGCAGGTGTGAATTAGTTTCCTGGGGCTGCCATAGCAGAGTACCACAAACTGGGTGACTTAAAACAATAGCAATTTATTCTTCCACAGTTCCGGAGACTAGTAGTCCAAAATCAAGGTATCAGCAGGGACTTGTTCTATCTATGGTATTGGAGAAGACAAAATTCTACCACAAAATTAGTTTGACCATAAAAGTAAGCCCTAAAATAAAGAAAAAAAATAATTATAGCTAAAACTATAACCACATTGAGAGGCAAACGGAAAATATCTTAGGATCAGGGCAAGAAAATGAAGGGAATCCTTATAACAGTCAGAAAAGACAAGAGCAGGACCAGAGAGGCAGCTCCAAGATAGTAATGTCTCTTTAAAAGCTCTTGACCGTTTGTAGTAGGCATCTGTTTCTGTTGGCCCAGCACTGGTTCTCCGTCTTTCCTCTAAGAAAACTCTCATCATCCTAACATTTCAGTGCAGGACGTCAACCAGTTTCCCTACCCCCTTCCTCCCAAGGGTGAAACACATGACTCTTTAATTTCTGTCCTGCACATCTAAATCTGGGTGAGTCCCAAAAATGCAGTGAGTGGCAAAGCAGAGTCATTTCGGTTGTCATGCTGGAAGACACTAACCAGATGTGTCAGTCTGTCCACTGAGAACACCACAGTAACCCTAGCCACTGTCCTCCCCAAGTGCCAGTTGTTTAACTTCTTTTGTTCTAAGCTACACAAGTGTCTTTCCAAATGTTTTTCATTTGTTTTAAGTCTAACATGTTTAATGTTTATTTTTAACTTACTATTTTAGACTATTTATTATTTTATTATAATTTATCGTTAATTATTTTAATAGGGCCAGGAGTTTGCCCCGGTTGGTTTCTATTGCTTACAACAAATGAACCTAACTGTTAACGAAATTATTGGTGGGGAGAACACATATTGCCCACAGCCACCCCACTAAAACAACCTGACTGCAGTCTCCATCCATGACAAATAGGACTCTTGAAATATAAGAAAGATCTTCTCAGTTTTGTTTTGTTTTTTTTTTTTTTCAACTGATTTTACCAGCTATCATTACTGCCCTGTATTTCAAGCTGAGTCATTCTTCCCTTCTGAGCCACCCAAATTGCCAGGGGGCACAAAAGAGCGACTCACTCTTGTTACGCTGCTTGTAGACACCAATAATCTTCTTTATGTTGCCTCCAGTTTCTCATTGTGGTTTTCATGATATTTGCAATATTAAGGGGATTAAAGAAAAGTACTCCAAAGTTTCTAATTAGAACTATTTTCAAAGAGAATCCCTATTGTGCCAGACTAAATGTGATCTTTTCTTTTCAAGCAAAGATTAGCCTAAAGACTTCATCCTGGCCAACACTAAAATGTGTGTCTTTTGAACTCTACTG